GACTTCGGACCCCAGCACCGCGAATGGGTGGAAGAAGGGGATATTCGGGCCCCTTATTTGATTCTTAAGTTCCACAAAGAGTTCCCGGACAAACCGGGAGGGCTCCCGGCCAAACCGGGAGATCTCCCGCCCTGCCCGGGAGACGGAGGATAAGATGTGTTTTGGAGGGGGCAGTATGTCAGCAAGCTGCCATTGTGTTCTGTGTTACTTGTACGCTTGTACAGTTCATCCCCCCCCCTCTGCCTGCTAGCCTGTATTTTATTTTGCTGTAATGCTAAGCCGGACATCTGGAGGACGTGGTGTAGGAGGTGAGCTTGAATGCTAGCTTGTTGCCTTTAGAGCCTGGGAACTGCACCTGTATTATGTCTGGATATAGTAGTGTTCCCAGGGATTGAGCGCGCAACGTTTCCCTTTACCCGCCAGCGGGAAAGTGATCCATTGGTTCGGTACCTGGTTCAAATCCCTTTATTATACTTGCCCTGGCTGTTTGTATCCATTCCTAACAAAGGACTTGTTTGAGTATCTTTCCAAAGCTTTGAAATAAATTTTGCTTTTCTGAAACGTGGATTTATTCTCGATGCTTGGGGATCCAACAGATACTCTCTCGAAGGCCATGCGAAAGTAGAAACAGCAAAGGTTCTCTCTGGCCATTATGGAGGAGGCTCCCTTACACAGTGTTACAAACCGCAGCTAATCTACAGTTCACACAGACATGTCTCAATCACTCCTCCCGCAGGAATGTCAGAGGAGGATCTTTGCGAACAGATTGATACATTGCCGGCAGGTGCTACATGAGGCTTGGGAACTACAAGCGGGGAGGAAATAGCTGTTGCGCAATAATAATAGAATTCAGCAAAGCAAAGCTATGTACATCAGAGAGCCATATGTGCAAGTAGAATGACCCAGTGACCCAGGCAAGGGTCTGATTCTGACATCTTTGCATTTTTTAAAACATTCATTAAGTTGTATACTAATTTGCTGTTCACCGGCTGCCTATATGTATGGACTGTTATCTTCCATTTCAGTGTATCTGAGGAAGTGTGTGTGCACACAAAAACTCATACCTTGAATAAAACTTTGTTGGTCTTAAAGGTGCCACTGGACTCACACTTATAATAAAATGTGTTAGTCTTTTAGGTTCCACAAGACTCCTCCTAATTACTGAGATCCTGGGGTTTCTGCTAAAACTATAGCTTATCTGACTAGAATATTTTGCAGACTTCCGTGTGGAAAAAGCCAGGACTTGCCTATAAGTCATGCCTTCTCTGAAAGGCTCTGATTATCTCCCCATGCCCTCCCCACCAATGTATGTTCTGGATTTATCTGTTTCCCTTCCCTCCCCCTGGTTAAGTTTTCCTTTGGCCAGATGGTGGAGCTTGAAAGCGGTCAAAGGCTCCTTGCGGAGATAGCTCTTTGCAACTTAGCTTTTAACCTCTGAAGGTCTAAAGAAGCTTGAAATCAAGAGCCTGAGCACCATGAAAACAATCATTGCTGCCTATTCCCAGAACCAGAGTGGTAAGAAAATGACCAGCAAAAGGTTACTGTGATTGAAAATGGGTCTGTGGAGGATTGTATTTTACAGTGGTGTTCCCCAGTGTGGTTTACTTAGATTGTGTATAATCTGTTTTCAGATGAACAAACTCAGTCTTTTAGCACCAAACAGGTCTGATATAGAAGCATATGCTATACTTCGGAAGAATTTGGTTCTGATACCAAACCACTCTCACATCAAAGGAGATTTCTAACTACAGTATGGGAATAAAAGGGAACACAAACTGGAATTTTGTCAGTAAAAGTTGCATTGCCCTTTATGGGTTTTGAATGCCTTCAAATTAGACTGGAAATTTGATTTTGACAGACAAAAACCTTTTGTTGATTAATGTTCAGTGCTATTAAAAATCAACTAGTATTTTATAGTCTTCTCACGCACACAAAACAAAAACAACAGTCTTTGGTATACTGGGAAATTTTTAGCAAAGAATTTTTTTTAAAAAGTGCTTGGAAGAGTATTTTTGTTGCTCTAGTTCACTTAATCTTCACTTGGGAAATCTGTGCAACAAAAGTTAAAATCTATGGTAGCTGATAGCTGCAATACTAAGAACACTTCCCTGGGAGCAAGCCCTATTGAATCAGTGCTTCGTTCTTGTGGCCCTTTATTACACACCGAGGGAAATGCTGATCACCACTTCGGGGTCAGGAAGCAATTTTCTCCAGATGAGTTTGGCCCCCAGGGATCCTGGAGGTTTTCTTGCCATCTTCTGGGCATGGAGCAGGGGGTCACTGGGGGCGTGGAAGGGGAGGTCGTTGTGAATTTCTTGCATTGTGCAGCAGGGGGTTGGACTAGATGACCCTGGAGGTCCCTTCCAACTCTATGATTCTATGAAAATGGGACTTACTTCTGAGTAGACATGCTTAGAATGCTCGCTACTCCAATATGCTATATTCTTGTAAGGACAAGTACTAGGTAACTTCATTTCTGGTATTATTTTTACCTATTTGGAACTGATCCTAATCATGATATGGCACATGGACTTTGTGAGCCTACAAAAGGCTTTAGAAATAGTCTCCAATGGTTTTATTGTGCACTTTATGGTATAGGCATGAAGGATCAGAAATCTCATGATTCTAACAACGAACAGTACAATCCTAAGCAATTTAGAAAGGTGTAAGTCTGCTGTTGGTTGTCTAACCCATATGAAATACTTATAGCTGCCAAAGTTAAGCATTTGTTAAGTAAAATTGCTGCCTGCCTGGAGAAAAGTCATCCTGTCTTTGGTAAGAGGCTTCATGGGATGTCATGGGAGAGCCAGTCTGGTGTAGGGGTTAAGTGCGCGGGCTCTGATCTGGGAGAACCGGGTTTGATTCCCCCCAATCCTCCTCCTCCACATGCAGCCAGCTGGGTGACCTTGGGTCAGTCACAAGTTCTCTCAGAGCTGTTCTCTCAAGAGCAGTCTTCGAAAGAGCTCTCTCAGCCCCACCTACCCCACAGGGTGTCTGTTGTGGGGAGTGGAATGGAAAGGAGTTTGTAAGCTGCTCTGAGACTCCTTCAGGTAGCGAAGGGCCATGGGGTATAAATCCAATCTCCTCCTCCTCCATGCCACAAATGCTTTCTGCTCTCCATTTCATTTCCACACATTAAAGGGACACAACAGTTTTTTCCAGGACTGCTGGCAGCCCTATGAGAAAGCAAGGTGGGCCCAGGTCCACCCAGTGAGCTTCCATGGCAGAGCGCAGTTTGAATCTGGTCCTCCTAGACCCTAACCTGGCAATCTGGCCACTCTGCTGCAGGGGATCCGCTCTGCTGCCACTCTCCAGGCCGGCAGTTTCTGCAGTGGGACCAAATATTGCCCATCTGTTGCATGGAACCAAATGAAAAATAAAATGTCTGAAGGACACAATTGACACAATCATGAAATCTGATAGTCTTACAGTTCCACAAGACTCTGTCTTTTAAACAGTGTTTAGAGATCCACAAACTCTGCTAAGTGTTTAAAAAATGACCTGTCTTTCAGCTAAGGGAACATAAAAACACTCTCTTGGGAATCCTACAGAGTCTTAGTACTAAAACAAATCCAGTGAGATAATTACTTCGAGCTCCCTCCCTACCTCAGAACAGGACAACTAAATGGTTAAAGCATTCCCATGAATACTTTTTAAAAAAAACCTCTTTGAAAAGTGTTTTTTAAAAAGCTATGGTTGGGGTTTAAATTCATATTAAGCCATGAGACAAATAATCTGAACTTTAGATGGCTCACCCCAAAGATGGAAGCACCGTTCTTGCTGCCCACTAACCTGGAGGGACGTGTCCCTTGAATGGAGGCACCATGAGATGTTATTTCCAAGTGATGTTATTTAATTCCATGCCATGAAAGGCTTCAATGACCCATTTCTAATATTAAGTCTCTGTTAAAGGAACTTTTTCTCCAGGCCTGTTGGCAACCATAAGCAGAATGGTTGCTCCTTTCCCAGGGCTGCATGCCGTTGTGCGGGTGGATCATAGCTGCTTACAGGAAATGCTGCGGACAAGACAAAAAAGAGAGTGTTTACCTCTGTATCCTTTATTTTATGTAATTAAATATATCACGTTTTTACTTGATTAGCTCACAACAGCCTTCTTAAATAGGACTCTTGCGGCTCTTGTGTTGTGTGTGTCTATACTTGAGAATTACTTAGAACCTAATTTGCTGTTTTGTCTCTTGATTTCAGAAACAGACTCCTTTCCAAAGGGAGGAATGTTTTTGAAAATAAATTAAAAGATCTTTAAAAAAACAAAAAACAAAGGGAGGAACGATCAAGCCCCTGTTTTGATCCTTTTGCAGTGACATCTGTGACAGTTAATGTTTCACCAGCTGAGAGGAAGGAAAAGGTAGAAGCAAAGTGAGCCATTATCGTGAGGCTCAGAAGCCAAGGCTGAGACATGGACAGGACCTTGGTCTGAAGCCTCTCTTATCAGTCACTGCAGGACAGGCTATGAGGCCTCTTTCGTAGCCCAGATAGGGGCTCGTGTCATTTTCTTGAAGGGTGCAACCTTTGGCCAGCCTTGCTATCAAGCAGGAGGTATGTGGCGAATCTGTGGTGCATCTTTTAGAAGCTGTAGATTTTGGGAAATCTGCTGGCAAAATGCCCCAGTATCATCCGCTTCACCCTTCCCTGGTGCTAGGGTCTGACTTGCTCCAGCATTCTGAACAGGCACAACCTTCAGTTCAATTACCTTTATTGGCACTGACATTAAAAAGAGTAATAGACAAAAAGATAAGGTAAAGAACGAATACCAATCAAAGAGAAAAAAACATTCTAATTAAGATAGTCTAAAATCAATGTAAAATAAGTCTCAATTTCATATCTGAATACAACTTTTGCATTACAATACTGTACTACAAATAAAAAGAGCAGCCTGCAAGGACTCTGCCACAGAAACGGTTATATTTTCATCATCGCTGTTTAGCAAATAAAACAATTGTTGTGAGTCAGGAAGCTCTCTGATACCACCAAGTAGAAGAAGAGGAAGAAGAGGAGAAGAGATTGGGTTTATACCCCGTCCTTCACTTGGAGTCTCAGAGTGTCTTACAAACCCCTTTCCTTTCCCCTCCCCACAACAGACACCCTGTGAGGTGGGTGGGGCTGAGAGAGCTCTGACAGGAACTGCTCTTTTTCAAGGACAGCTGTGCCAGAGCTTGTGACTGACCCAAGGTCACATCAGCAGGTGCAAGTGGAGGAGTGGGGAATCAAACCCGGCTCTCCCAGATTAGAGTCCGCACACTTGACCAGTACACCAAACTGGTAGTGACGATAAAGTGCAGTGTCAAATATAGGCATAATAATGGCATTCCAATAACACCTGAGACACCGTTTCAACTGACCCGCTTGCACAGGGACATAGTCTATTAACAAAAGGGATACCATTAAACCTCGCAGTTAAGACAGCTGAACGGAGAGCATTGAATCTGGCAAGTGGAAAGGTTCTACGTAGCGCTGGAGTCTGAAGTTGGTGAAAACAGCTAGCAGGATGACCCACAGTGGGCAACATCCCCCATGGCTTAGAGGGGAGAACATGTCTTATTAGCTGCGTTCAAATAGCTCCGCCTCAAATAGCCTGTCCCTTTTGTTTGCATTGCCTCCAATTCCAAAAGTAAGAGTAAGGATTCGAAAGGGATATTCAGTGTTTGTAATTTATTTTCAATAATAACCAACCAAGGGTTAGATTCAGTCAAAAGTTGGGAGCAGTAACTAGAGGGATCAGATCTATAATGTAATCGAAGCCAGAACTTAAAGGTCATTAACCACACCCTTGTAGTCATAAGGTTTTGGCCACATTGGTTCCCTCTTCCAGAAAAATAAAAATGCAGACACTTCTGCATTTTTATTTGTTACTCTATGTTGTTGGGTCCATGCTGCAGTAGCTTGAAAATGAAAACCTAAGTACTTATAGTGTTTTACCTGTTCAAGCTCGTGATTGCTCATCTTCCAGGTAAATTGCTTCCTAGATTTGGAGAAGACCAGCACTTTGGATTTTCTGTAGTTTAATTCTAATTTGTTGATTTTGCAGTACTCTTGGAAGCAATGCGATAAGCGAAGCAAACCCACTTGGGAACATGACTAAAACCGCATCGTCTGCATAAAGCAAAAGTGGGACGTTGGTAGAACCCAGTTTGGGACTATGGCCATCCACTTGGGTTAAAATGGGGACAAGGTCGCTTAGGAAAAAGTTGAAAAGCATGCAACCCTGTTTGACACCTTTGCTGGTAGAAATATTTGGGGTTAATCTCCCTGAAGCAGAGTATCTGATTTGACATGAGGAGGACATATGAAGTCTGCTAATTAAAAAAAAGGAGTTTCTTGTCCAGGGAAGTATCAGCCATTTTCTCCCAGAGGCGATTCCTGGGGATAGAATCAAAAGCCCCTTTAAGGTCCAGAAATGCCACATATAATTTGGATCTTCTGCGCCCTGTTAACTGAGAAAGAACCAAACAGTGGTCCAAAGTCGATTTCCCCTGCCTACAGCCAGTTTGCTCTGA